CAGTGGTATCTGATAATTAGTCCCTTTCTGTCAGCGAGGTTTCGGTCCTCATCTGGCAGTGGTTCCTAATACTTTCCCCATCTACCGGAGGCATTGGAAACTACTTGGGTGGAAAAATTTGCTTAATTTAGCTCAGAGGTCTCCTAGAGACATGAGGTTCTTTTACGTGCCGTAAATCTATGACACGGGACCCATGGTTTAAAGTCCCTCCTGGAGGACTTGTTCCCTGAATTTTTTCTGCCCTTAAAAATTCCAGGACCTCTGCCGGGTTTGAACCCATGTACCTTGAGTCATGAGGTGGGAACGTTAGCCCCAGACGACGGAGGCCGCTCTGTCTCCAGTTACTCTGTATCATAAGTGACTGCAAAATTTTAATATTTAACTTCATTGAGAGAATTGTGTTTCAGCATCACCAAAAATGGGCATTGATTCACCAAGAGATGAGCAGCAGAACAAGCGCTTTTGCTGTGGGAGTGAAGTATTTACATTCTCTCCCCCTGGCGCAGCACATGATGGCTAGGCTTTGGATGACTCAGTGGCCAGACTGAGTAGATCTCAGCCAGAACCAAGGTTAGAGCAGCCCTGTGTACCAGTTGAGAGTGTTGCTACAGCTATGCAGGAAGAAGAGGGGACATTGTCATTTTCACAGCCAGCGCACCTGAATGATATGGTGCTGAATTCACAGCTGCATGCTACTCAGCCATGTACACGGACTTCCAGTCAGGTATGTAGTGCTAAGAAAGCTCTGAATCTAATAATTTTTTTTAAAAAATGAGTTGAAGTCATTGTGTTTTTTTCACAGAATACTTTCCAAATCCTGGTGCGACGCATGACACGCTTTTGTGTATGTACAGACTATAAGGAAACAATTGAAAAACTATGCAAATTATTTGATAAATTGAGTTATACCTGGGGAATTGCAGCCAAAGTGGTATGTAATCATCGATTTTCACTGATTGCTTGGGCATGCCTGGTGTGCATACAGTTCTCTCCTGTGTCTTACTGGTCTTCTGTTTCTGGGTCATACTAAAACACCCGACACTTAACCATTGTCGCTGCCACTTGAAGTTACTTAAAGTACAAAGAAACCTGTGGACTTTTCCATATTTGGACTGAATAGGGATGAAATGTTAGGAGTTTCAGAAAGTTGCATAATGTGGCGCTTCATAAGTTGTACTCTTTGCCAAGTATAAGTGAAATGATCAAGTCAAAAAAAAACAGGCTAACCAACCGAGCAGCTTCCGAATAAAATTCTAGACCGTTACCTCCCCACCATCTCGTTCGATCCCAAACTTTTGACTTATAGAGAATGTGTACATACATGCAATATACATACATACATACATTGTGAGAACTCACAGAAGAGAAACTGGATAAAATCAGTGCTGGGTTTGAACATTCTTCTCAAAAATCTCATGGACGCCTTGCATAGGAACTGGGTTTCATGTTTAGGTTGTGAAGTTGGAAGCTTTTCCATTTGTGCATGAATATGAATTGTTGTGCTGGTGTCAGGAGTGTGGAGCAGTTCTGGTTTCTGCTGCTGACCTATGGGCTTGTCAGTTGTGCTCTCAGTCCAAATATTGGTGGCCTGGGTAGGCTGGATCAGTGTCTTGGTTCCACCAGAGCCGTTTGGTGATGTGCAGCAGGCTCTGAGATGATTGCAGAGGATGAACATGCTTCACAGTGAGAGGCTGAGACTATAATTGTTTCCTGCCTTGTCATTTCTGATTCATCATTCACAGTTGTGCCATCATGCTTGTAGTTGATACAGCACTGAAGAACATGAGTAATTAATCTCAACCAATTTTCCCCCCCCCTTATTTTTTCACCCTAAATTTAGATTTCAAATCAGTCCCCCCACCAGATGTGGTGGTGTTTAAAATTTTCTGTTGGCTTTTGTGGAAGCAAGTAGCTAAGTTGGAGAGCATTCCAGTGGAAGATATTCATATCTGAATGAGGATGATCTTGTAGCCAACCTGCAATGCTTAAGCATCGATGTCAGTGTTTCTCTGAAGGGGGTGGGGGCAAGGTGCATGGCTCCTTGGCTCGTGCTGGTAAAGTCAAAGGTCAGACCCCCCCAAGGTAAGGAAGAGTAATAAATCTTAAGCTAATAAAAATGTAACTCATTTATTTAATTTTTCAGATATAATGCATCATTCAAAGTTTCATTGGTAGACTTTCTTTTGTCAGTGATCATCAAGTAATCTTGTGCTTGAGTGTGTATGACAAATAACAGTTTGCAACATTTCAGTAAACCTTATTGACATTCTCTAGTGCCACATATATATCAGGAAGGCACATAATCTGTCTTTGTGTAATTACATCATGCACTTTCGCCAGCCTTTTTGTTAAATGAGTACAGTTTGTGGTTATCCACATTCATCATCATCATCACTGGCACGACAGACCTTTGTGAGCCCTGGCCTTCCTCAGGATTGCTCGCCATTCTTCTCTATTCGATGCTACATTCCTCCAGTTCTTTACACCCAAAATTCTTATGTCCTGCCACACACACATTCTTCCCATCTTAACTTTGGTCTTCCCACTCTCCTGTTTCCTTCTGGTTTAGTATTAAACATTGGTTATCCACATTCACAATAACATATATACATACCTTGGTCTGTACTCACAGTAGTATAATAATTTTACATTTGTGTTTTTCAGGTGGACAAACACGAGGAGGAGGAGGAGGAGGTGAAGGAGGAGGAGGAGGAGAAGAAGACGAAGAAGAAGAAGAAGAAGAAGACGAGACTGGCCGTGATAAGCGAAGTATGCAGTACAGTCGCCAGTTTGTGAATGTTGTGCAAGGGTTTGGCTGCAGGATTGGACCTAATGCAAACTCATAATTTTGAAATGAAAGTTTGTTGGAGATCAGAATTGAATATCAGAATTTTGTAACTTGCTTATTTACTGAGCGTTGTACAAAGTGATGCTTGAAGGTGTGATTGGTTTATTGATTGATTCAATCCAGTTAAATTAGAAGAAATAATTTTTGTGATTGATGCTACTTGCATGAATTGGAATGATCTTAAGTTAATTTTGATAAAATTATGAGAATTGTATATTGTTGTTTTTATCTAATAAAATGTAAATAACAGTGTGAAAGTTTCTTATTTTAACCTTATAATGGTATGAAAGTACCAGCTGAAACCTTCTTCATAATCATGACAGATACTGCAGTACTGGAAATTGAAACTTTATAGTGTGTCTTACTTATACTTAAGTAGTCACATGATACAGGTATTCTTGTGATCATGCAGAAGCTGTGCAGTAAATTAGTGTCTCTCATACTCGTGGAATTAATGGGTAGGAGGAAGATTTGTGATAGGTATAACTTTCATACCTGGTGTCTGTTAAATGCTGTCATCTCTTTTGCACAGGCTGGTGAAATTATAAATTCATAATTATATAAATTGTTGATTTCCATAGAACAGTGAAATTCTTATTTGATGAATCTGTAGGGGAATGATTGATCCTTAAAATAGCTGAGGATTCTTATTCACAATTACATCAAGAAACTGTTCTCATAAAATTTAGATATGGCTTGGGATAATATCCCAGAGCGGGATCATAAGAGCATAGTAATGAACATTTGATTTGACTAGCTTAGTGTGTTATATTCTCAAAGACGTTTGCAGCATGGAACTGGTATGAAATTAGAAGTATTGGTGTAGGGTGGGCTCCATGGGCATAGTGTTGATCCCAAGCTTCAATGTAATCTGTGTATATACTGCATCAAATACAGGGTCTGGCAATGAAGTTCCCAGAATGGTGTGAAAAGAGAAATAAAGAATACAAGGAAATAAAAAATTGTTTCATTTCTATTGAAAGTAATCACCCCCCATACTTGAATACATGTATCGAATTGTTTAGAAAGTTTTTGAAAAAGTTGTCAAGAGGCTTTCAAACGAAAAACTTTCTGTTTGGTCATTCCACAGCATCTGCTAAAGTTGGGACTAACTTCGCCGACAAGCGGCGATCGCTTGGTATAGTTCGCTTGCTGACTAAAGCCACGGAGTTTTATTTTTTGTAATAATAATAATAATAATAATAATAATAATAGGCTACAAGCCAGAAGGTCGCGGGTTCAAGTCCTGATGAGGTCATTGGATTTTTTTCAATAATCCTTCCGGCCGCGCTAGGCCCTTGGGTTTACTCAGCCTCTGACAGAAATGAATACCAGGAATTAATTAAATAATTTTCCTGGGGAGTGAAGCGCGGCCGGCGCGTATGGCTGACAACCTTACCGCCATCTCTGAGCAGATTGTCAAGGTAATGTGGGACCCTTAACCCTTAACAACCCAATGGGCCTTCACAGCCTGTTACAGGGATGGCTTTACTTTTAATAGGCCACAACTCCTACTCTCACATGCAGTCTATGCAGAACTATGGTTGTTCTTTCTGACATATTACTGCAGATGCCACTGAATATCAAGTTTCTACGAAACTTTTATGCTATTAAAAAATGAATTAGTTGTTCCTTCTATACCTTGAATATATTCACTAACACTGCGGGAATACAGAGGGCATGGGAACTGAATATCTCATGACTAAAGCGGAAACTGAACACCAGCAAGGCATCCCTGCTCCCTCAGTCATTATTGTTCAGGTCTTATATAACTCTTGCAGCTCAAGGGCCGCGTTCTACAAACCCACTCCGATGTTCTTAATTTTCAGGTCATGTCTTTCTCGCGTGGTTCTTTAAATTCCCAAGCTGCACGGTATCACATCCCACAAGACGGTTATCTTTGATATCATCTTAAATCGTATGACTTTGGACACCCCTGACTTTTTGGCGGGTAGTCGTGTGGAGGTAGAGATGGTAGAGATACATACTGATGATGCTGATTGGAACATCTGAAACTTCTATGCATACGATTGGCTATCAATTGGCGTGTTTGTGAGAGAGAAAATCTACTTGTTAGAACTTAAATTTGCTGTGGAAAAAATAAGTGCACAGAAGTGATTCAGGTAAGTAAAAGCAGGGCCATCTTTACCTGCTTAATTGATTAATAATTCAGTTTCCAAGGTGCAATAAAATATAGATGTAGTTACAGAGCGCTGCCGGTTTTACAGAAGTCCAGTAGTGCCCCAGGTGGTATGAGGCCTCGGTTACGTTTGTGTCACCAAGTTAAGTTGTTGACGAAACTGAATACAATATGACCAACTTTACCAGGAGTGCGATGCCAATATTTGCTGGGACACATTCCGGATTTAGATTGGAATATATGTTATAAACCTTGTAGATTTAGGGCATGCTATAGTTTGAACAAGTTTCTCTTACTCAGAATTACTGGGATTTTAGACTTTTTTCATCGTCCAATATTCTAGAGATTAGAAAATACGACGTTTCGCAGAGTGGATCTGTTTCCTTTCTCAGGTGAGGTGGCAAGACATTACTCAGTTGGGTCCCTTAGAAAGAGCTAACTACGATCACTGTCCACAGTCACTTTTTAAAGGACCCAACTCAGTAGGTGTCTTTCCCATCTGAGGACGGAAACAGATCCAGTTTGCGAAACGTGTTTTCTTATCTGTAGAAATGTTATATTTTAGCGTCCTGTTACACTGATTCATGTCCATGGTTTATGCTAACTGTCTTACAGTGTATACACTTTTTCACCTTATTCTTCACTTCCACACTACATGTTTCAGCACTAATGTGCCATCCTCAGGTGTCTTTATGCACGTTAAACTATTGTACTGCATGCCATGATGTCTTCATTCTAAAATGACTAAAATCTGTGTTTGTCATATATGTCATGAATTCTAAATAATAAAACTTTTCAGGATTCATCCTACATCGCACTCAAACACGCGAATTATGCCAGTCCTCTTTTATGTGAGCATTCTTCTTACATACATTTGTGTATCATGTTCTGTGTTGTTTTTTGCTCCTGTTACTTCATGCATTGTGATGCTGGATATCTCTAGAATACTGGACGACGGAAGAAAGCCCCAAAACCCAATACATCTGAGTGTTATACGCCATTGTCAGAACCCTTTAGATGGTTTTCAGAGTATTGTTATGCCAGAAGATATGTACTGAGTGAATTTATGAGGGAGTGATAAAATCGTCAGTTTTCAGTGTTTGCATTGAGCAAAAGAATAATAAATACAGTGTTCAGGCTGTAAGGCTTATGTTATCAAAGATGCTGCTGTTACTGATTTTGGCTCAGATAAGTATGTAGACTGTAAAAATTGTGTTAGGCTTGATGGCAACATAAAAATGATATTTGAAGAAGTAAGGTGTAGAGTGGACTCATCTGGCCCAGGATAGGGAACAGTGGTGGGCTCTTGTGAACAGACACCATGAATATTCAGACTTCAAGAAAGGCAAAGAATTCTGTACTAGATAAGCATGTATTAGCTTCTCAATAATCACTGGCTTCCCGCCGTGGCAGCCCGTGTTTGATCTCGTGTCTGGTCAGGTGGGATTTGTGGTGGACGAAGTGGCGCTGGGGTAGGTTTTCTCTGAGTACTTCAGTTTCCCCTGCCAATCTTCATTCTACCAATTGCTCCACAATCACCCTCACCTATCATCTGGGGCTGGTACAATAGGCCAGAAGTGGCCATAGTGCAAGGGACATAGTCCCACCCCACTAGCAATAAAAAAAATAATTAGCTTCTCAGGATGTACTCTGCTCAATTTAAGTAGGAAGAATCTGGTTAATATACAAAATGCTGCTTAAGTCCACCAGACTGCAGCCTAGGATGGGTTTTTATCCCACAGTACCCTTACCTTCTTACATAAGTTCAAATTAGTGTATTGTATGGTGGGAAACCATATATTTTTGACGTACCAAAAATTTAAGAGGTATCCACATGATAATGCAGTAAGTGAAATGTTATAACTGTTCATAAAAATGCTTTCAGAACCTTGACCATAGTTATTCATCACAATGCAACTGTGTGGAAATGTAACATGAAGTGTAACAGAGATTTTATGTGTATAACAGTTTGGTTAGTTTTCCTGTTATATGACATTTAATTTAAAAGAAGATTTGTGTCATTGATCAATGTTTCCTATCAATTTTAAGCATAATTCAGTGTTACAGATATTGTTCAAGTAATTTTGAGGAACGGAAAATATAAATGCAAAAACATAAAAGTTTTATGCAACTATTACTATAGTAGAAATGAGGAAAATTTTCTAAATGGAAAGTTACGTGAAACAGTAACTTTGGAATTACATGAAATTCCTACTCATGAGTTCCTGTGACCCATGAAATAGGGTAGCTGATTTTTAAGAGACTGTTGAGGTGAGAATTGACTATATGCATTATTGCAATCTTGTAGTGTTACATCCTGCTCGTGGTGCTTGCAAATAAAAATTGAGATGTTACCATCACTCATGGAGCTGAGCCCTTTTTGAGAAGCCGCCAACTGTGCAGCTACTCAGGAATTTCCCAGCATTTTATGGAACCCGAATGTTCATTACTGTGTACACAAGAGTCCTCCACTGGTCCCTATCCTGAGCCAGATCAATCCAATCCATAACATACCATCCCATCCTATCTCTCTAAGATCCATTTTAATATTGTTCACCCACCTACATCTTGGTGTTCCCAGTGGTCTCTTTCCTTCTGGCTTTCCCACCAATATCCCATACACATTCCTCTGCCCCATTTGTGCTACATGCCCTGGCCACCTCATCCTCCTTGACTGAGATGTTACCATCAGAGAATAAATGTTTTTATTATTTCAGTCACAACGTTTCACCTCATATTTCAGTCACAACATGTTTCACCCCATGTAGGCCATTTCCAAATTATATGTGCACAATATAGAAATGATGGTGGAATTCCACAGAATTACAGTGCAAGTATACATCTGAGAATTTTTTACTTAAATTCAGATCTGATTAACCATATACCAATTAATTTTTAGAATTAAGACAGACATACAAATATTAAATTTTAAAATTAAGACTGGAATAGTTTAAGGTGAAAATCATTATAAAAGGCTGGGTGTTATTCAAGGGGAGAAGGTGATATTGGAGGATTCAAGAAAATGTATGATCAAGAAGGAGTGTGTGGTGGGGGCAGGGTGGGGGGTTAATTGAGGTACATGCATTAGGTTATGATGTGAGGGTGATGGACCATGATAGGTGGGTCCCTTGTCACCATGGAGATGGAGGAGACGCCCTCCAGTTTTGGAGGGAAGCTGCGAATATATCTAATACGCATTCGCAGACAGCCAACAAGGGGTGGTCTTCCAGCTTGGGGGTTGATCGTGGGGCTAATAATTCATCACTGTAAAAAATAATAATATTATGAAAATGAACACAAAGCCTCGGACCTGGACAGATTCCTTAGATAAACGACCTAAGCTAAAGAAAATGGATATGAGATTTGGCACTTGGAATAAGTTTGTATAGGGCAGGTTTGCTCAGGGTAGTGGCAGAAAAAATCTTAAAATATAAATTAGATTTAGCGGGAGTAGAGGAGGTCAGATGGAATGGAGGTGACATCGCACCAACAGGAGACTATACATTTTTCTCTGGAAAGGGGAATGAAAATCATGAATTAGGTACAGGTTTTTCATACATAAGAGAATCGTATCAGCAGTTAAGAGGGTAGAGCTCGTTAGTGATAGGATATCATATATAATACTAAAAGGTCACTGGTGTGATATTGTTCTGTATGTTCACGACCAAACAGAAGATAAAATTGATGACATAAAGGATAGATTCTATGAAGAACTAGAACATGTATTTCATAAATTCCCCAAGTACCCTATGAAAATTTTGTTAGGAGATTTCAATGCCAAAGTAGGGAGGGAAGACATTTTCAAATCAACGATTGGGAATGAGAGTTTGTATGGCATTAGTAATGATAATGGAGTTCGAGTAGTAAACTTTGCCACATCAAAAAATCTTACTCTCAAAAGTACAAGGTTCCCACATTGTAACATCCATAAATTTACTTGGACATCTCCAGATGGGAAGATACACAATCAAATAGACCTTATTTTGATAGATAGGAGACGGCACTCAAATATACTTGATGTCCCATCATTCAGGGCTGCAGATTGTGACACTGACCACTACCTGGTGGTGGCAGAGGTTAGGGAAAGACTGGCAGTGAACAAACAAACAACACACAGAGTTCATATGGAGAGGTTCAATCTCAAGAAATTAAATGAGGTAGAGGGTAAAGAGCAGTATTGTGTTGAAATCTCAAATAGGTTCACGGCTTTGGAAAACTTGGAAACTGAGGTGGATATTAAATAAAGCTTGGGAAACTATGAGAGAAAATATCAACATTTCTGCCAAGGAGAGTCTAGGTCAGCGATGGCCAACTGGCAGCCCGCGGGCAGTATCCGGCCCGCGACTTAATTTACTCTGGCCCCCCGCCAAGTCTCAGGTTTATTTTCAAAAATCTTAATTTCACAGCTGTATTGGCATAGAATTCAGTTTTTAATAGGACATTTCATTAGCTTACAGCATTTTGCAGTTGACTGTATACGTTCTTACCGAGTTGGACAGTTCAAACTGTTTTCTAATAACTGTGTTCATGTCATGGAAATTCCAAGTCCCCCAACCCTACTTCTGTAGGGAGATGACACTGAAGGGAAGACCGTAGTGGTGAAGGATGTATGACACCTTAAAAATAGTAACCATTCCCAGCTTGCTCACGGGGATGGGATGTTCACCGTTTCTCTCGGCATCCTGGCCTTTGTTAAGTGCCAGTTTTAGCAGAAATGTCTCCCAGTTAGTGCGATTTTAGAAAGTGAAGTGTGATTATGGAGTGTGAGTGTAGAACTGCTTTTCAATTAAAATTGTGTTTTAAGTTATTGTAAGTGATACAGCATGTGAAATAGTAAATTGAGAAAAGTTGATAGTGAAAATAGGGTGTTCAAATCTGAGTGGGAACATGACTTTTTTTATATTAAATAAAGACCACAAGCCACAGTGTTTAGTATGTTTTCAAGTGCTAGCAGTTTTAAAGGAGTACAACCTAAAGAGGCAT